CTCATCCTCCTTGACTTGATCATTCTAATTATACTTGGAGAAGAGTACAAGTTATGAAGCTCCTCATTATGCAGTGTTCTCCAACCTCCTGACACTTAACTCTCTTTGGTCCACATATTCTCCTCAACACCCTGTTCTCAAACACCCTCAGTCTATGTTCCTCCCATAATGTCAGAGACCAAGTTTCACACCCATACAGAACCACAGGCAAAATTATAGTACATATACTATATATATATATTGAAACAATAGAAGTAAAGTGGGTCTCACTTTCCGCAAAAACACTTGTTCTTGTTTCTCTGATGTTATGATTGATTAGTGAGACTGACGTCGATCCTATAGTAAGGTTATGTACATACAACTGCTCGTGTAAGAAATAAAACCAAATGCAGCTTCAACCTATCGATGACGAAATAAAACAAAACAATGTTTTGGTAGCAAAATCTTCTCACTTTAATTTGTAGCAACGGCGCAAGTTTGTGGTATTGAGACTGGACAAATGTTGCATATGGCTGACTAATATCTTAATATACTTATCCTAGAATCAAAGACACTACATAAATTATAAGGCCCCTCTTTCAGTGACGGTAATTTTTGCCATTCCACAAGATAAGGTATGTAACTTGCTACCTAAAATCCCCTTCATGAACTGCAGACGTAACGACTAAGTGTCCGAGAAAGTTTGGAGACTGGCAGACACTCGGCTCTCAGATAACTAGCCCCTGAATTGAAGCATCACGCAGGATCACAGTACTCGGTGTAAATTTGTGTTTCAGGGGGCTACGGGTCCCCGTTCACGGCGCACTCCTTGTCCTGGTCCAGCAACAAGGAGAACGGCTGTAATGGTATCATGTTCGCCAAGGTGTGGACACCCGAGGACCCTCGCTCCAATAAGGGTATGGCCCACAACGGGCCCACCTTCTCTCTCGACAGCTAAATGACTTTCCTCGCGCCATTCTTCTCGAGAAATCTGAAAGTACAGCATCCAATGGAGCCGTGGTTTCAAGACACACTGTGTACCAATGTACTGGCCACATACTGAAATCTGTGATCTCATATTCGCGTTGGATAACTGAAAGTGAGTGGCCTACAAAAATTCCAAACGTTCCAGAAACCTAAGCAAAGAATCGGCTATTTGATAAGGGTGATAATTGACAAAGAGTATGGGAACTTAAAAACAAAAAGTATTATTGACAATCGAAATTTATATTCATGTTGTGGTCTTCTGGAATACGAAACAATGTTGCAGCCGGTTTCCATACGGTATCATAAACCAGAAGACCACAATTTGAATCTTGACTGTCGTGAGATTCTTTGATCTCACATATTCTGTTTAAGTGAAACTGGAGACGAGACTCCCTTGAAAGGAAATGGCCAAAGCAGCGTTCTTATCTCTGTTAAGGTAGCAACAAGAAATGGCAACTTCCGGTGCTTTCACACTTCGAGTGCACCCACTCACCGGCAGAACTAAATGGAACACCTTTTAGTTACGGCCACAAGAAAATGAATACTTAGCCTGTTTAAGAGCCGCGCCATAGCTCAAGCGGTTAGTCGCTGGCTTCCCATCGCGGCAGCCCGGGTACGATCCCGGGTCTGATCAAGTGGGATTTGTGGTGGACAAAGTGGCGCTGGGGCAGGTTTTCTCCGAGTACTTCGGTTTCCCCTGCCAATCTTCATTCCACCAATTGCTCCACAATCACCCTCACCTATCATCTGGGGCTGGTACAATAGGCCAGAAGTGGCCGCAGTACACGAGGACTTAGTCCTACCCCACTAGTAATAAAAAAAATTGCCTGTTTAAAATTTTGGAGAATGCTGTGAAAATTAACATATAAAATTGAAGATAAGAATCTTTAAAACGAAGCATTGATATAAATATATAAAAAAATTAACAAATATATTAATAAATAGGTAATCGACGAGTTAGTTTCAACTAATATTTAGCAACTGACTTTGCGTTCCACTTTTTGCCTTTTATGTCCAACGTCGGTTATTATTCACTCGTCATATTCTCCTTATTGCACATCACTACACGTTTCGGCAGAACCGGCCATCATCAGGTGTACAGGCTGTTGTGATGAAGAGACCTGCTGCCCTACTTCCCTTATGCAGTTGCCTCGGACTGTTTCTAGGTTATATGGGTTAACGGGCTGTCGCCATGCAAGTTTTTGCCTTTTCTGTAATGTTTGATGGGTTATGTTAGAGTTTTATTTCAAGGTACATATTTATATGCTTTCAATTTATGCATATCTGATGTTACTTAAGGTTTTGTTAGTTTGCTGATTTGTCTCTGGCTCAGTGTATCGTTGTCCTGAATGCTTTTGTTGAAGCGGAAGCTTTTTGTTTGGCGGCCAGCCATCATGGTCATTCGTGGTAGGTGTGCCTGTGACGGCTGTGTTGATACCTAGGATGCAGGCCGTGTTGTTTGCTACAATTAGTCAGAATCAATTACATAACAAAAGCAGAACGGTATTACAGTGAGCAGCAGTTTCCTTCATCACAACAACCTGTACAACCGACGATGGCCGGTTGAGCCGAAACATGTAGTGACAATAAAGAGCAATGACGAGTGAACATTAAACGACATTGCATATAGTTGAACGCAAAGTCAGATGTGCATAGTGCAACAGGACACAGCAATTTAATAATATTTAGCAAGTTAAAATTAATTTCTTAAGAGGGCGTGAAAATGTTATATATTAAAATTTATATTAATGGAAATTTTAACAATTAATTTTTTTTCAAACTAAGAAT